CTGGGGCCCTATTGTGGGGAAAACAAGAATAGACCCACTGCCTCCCCAAAAGCATGTCGTAAGAGTCGACTAACTGGGGAGCTTCCTTTGAAGTCGGAGTGCATCTGCCTGGGAGGCAAGGAATCAGATCTGTAAAGCTGATGCACACACAACACTTAAGTTCTTGAGCAGGACTGCAGTTCAGAAGTGGACGAACAACCAGAACTTTACGCCAGAGTGTACAGCTGGTGAACGCGAAGAAGAAGAAGAAGAAGAAGAAGAAGAAGAAGAAGAAGAAGAGAAGAAGAAGAAGAAGAAGAAGAAGAAGAAGAAGAAGAAGAAGAAGAAGAAGAAGAAGAAGAAGAAGAAGAAGAAGAAGAAGAAGAAGAAGAAGAAGAAGAAGAAGAAGAAGAAGAAGAAGAAGAAGAAGAACCATCACATTTAACATCTGTTTATTTTACTGAATACAAGAACTCTACACTTCACAGATAATACACTACATTGGCATATGCCATCGTGTTTACTCACACATGTGCTGAGTACGTCAGATTACAAAAGTAAGAATTCGCCGACAACGACTTTACTAAAATACATCTCCGAGCGGTAATACACACTGATATATCTATGCACAGTTTAACCACTAGAGACAAATTCAGATCTAACTATGGAAACATAACAACCGCCGTGAAATCAGCCAGACAGCCGGTCATCCCCTCAATCGCCCGTACCGACATTGTTTAGTTCAGTGTGTAGAGCCGCAACAGCTGGGTGGATCTCCTGCCCTGAGCGACTGCGGGGTCAGAACCTCAAAAGCCAAAATGAGTGCGTTTTCTGTGTGAGTCGATCTTTTGTAGACATGTGGCTTCGTGAGTGGATAGATTTCTGTTCAAGTCGAGCTGAACAGCCGATTTTAACATTTTTGTTGTTAGAACTGAGCACTTTCCTACTGTTTTGAGAATCTTTGGTTTATTTCCAACATTATTTTACCACAATATACGAATAGTGTGCTCGCTGTCGCGCTCGCGCATGCGTGTATGTATGTATGTATGTATGTATGTATGTATGTATGTATGTATGTATGTATGTATGTATGTATGTATGTATGTATGTATGTATGTATGTATGTATGTATGTATGTATGTATGTATGTATGTATGTATGTATGTATGTATGTATGTATGTATGTATGTATGTATGTATGTATGTATGTATGTATGTATGTATGTATGTATGTATGTGTGTGTGTGTGCGCGCGCGCAATGGCACCGGAACCTGGACGTTTACCCACCTTGAGCTTCTCCTAAAGTGTTTCTTGTGTTCCTCCTCCTTGCTGAGCCGAATTTGCTAAATGACCAAGCTGCCTCCTCGACCTTCCAAATGTATTAAAGTTGTTTTATAAAACATGTTTTGTTTACTCATTTTTTTTAAATGAATTGTTACACATAATTTATTTGCCATTCGAAACATTAGTATTGTTCAACTCTTGCTGGTGATAGCTGAAGCCCAAATAAGGCAACGTGTCAGCCACAAAAGCATGGGTATACTACACACACAGGAGCGGAATACCCAACCTATGAAGAGGTCTTGTGTTGTTGGTCGCTCTACTACTCCCTGGAGTGATACTGACCACATCACCCATCTTGTGCCGATTGGTCTATAAAAATATAGGTCTAGCCCTAAATGCCCTATACGCCTAAGCGCGTGAAATGGGGTCCTTACTTTTACTTACTTACTACGGCCTGTCAAATTGACTGACTGACTGACTGACTTTCTACCCCACTAGGACATCACACAAGCGATAAACACCCGATAACACCAAGTGGATGAGGATCACCGTGGAGAGGTTCCAGAAACCGCGTTCAGACAATTGGCCATATTTATGGCCTGCCTATATTGCGGCCCCTGGCAAAAGCCAGGGTGGGGCTTCAAATAAGAAAAAAATTCGTCCTAAAAAGGACGTAAGGATAATATCAAGCCTGACAGATTGCCATTAGTGACTTTATATACCACTTGTGCGATGTAGGCAGGGTGTTTGAGCCTTCGGACTTAGGGTCGCATGGCTAGGGCTCTTGTCACGACTGTGCTGGTGAGGGTTTTACTTTGCACCTGACAGAAAGGTGGAGTCGCTAGACGGCTAGACGCGGATCGGAAGGTCGTGGGTTCGCTCCCTGGCGGAGCCGGACTTTTTTCAAAAATGACCTTGGCTCCCAGGTCGACCCAGCTTTGAGTGGGTACCAGGTGCAGTCCCGGGAAAGTGAAGGCGGCCGGTGTGATACTGACCACATCACCCATCTTGTGTCGATTGGATTATACAAATATAGGTCTAGCCCTATATGCCCTATACGCCTTAAGGTGTGGAAAAGGGTCCTTTACTTACTTTTACTGACAGAAAGAAAATTCGCTGTGAGGATTCGAACCCGGGTCTCCCGCATGTGCGACCAGCCTTCTAACAGTTCGTCTAAACCTAATATGTACAGCGTAATACTATTTTGGCCTGAGCATAAGGCTAACTGAGTTCAGA